TGCCTGCCCCCCTCAGCCTGCCCCCCTCTGCCTGGCCCCCTCTGCCTGCCCCCCTGCCCCAACAAAACCTGGTTCTCATAGCCTCGCAAGCGCTGTGCAGCGGAGGCTCAGGGCTGTGGTCTGTCATTCAGGGGCACCGCAGTCAGACCTGTTTTGCTGGGCTGTCTGTCGTTCCTTTGGTATCCCTCCCCTCTCCCCCCCAACCCTCCGCGATGGAACAGCTTTTCCCAGAGGGCCCATCCCCTGGCTCTGCCCTGCTGCCCTCCATCTCCAGGGAGCTGTCAGTGGGTGAGCTGCCAACCCACGGGAGGAAGCAGATGGCAGCAGGAGAATGCTGTCCTGCCAGTCCCCGGGAGCCAGGAGGTCAAAGTCTGGGCCCTCCCTGGGTGAGGCCTCTCGGGGTGGGATTCCAGCCGGTTCTGGTAGGGACGAGAGGCCTCCCTCACTCAGGCGAGAGCTTCACGTCCGCCCCTGGTGTCCGTCCCGGTAGCAGCGTCCTCAGGCCGCGGGGACCTACCTACAAGCTCTGGCTTCACGTCTGGTGGGTGTAATTCGGGGTACGGCGGGTGGTGGCCATGGTATCCCGGGCACGAGCAGCAATGCTCCAGAAAAGCTTGGTGTCCCTGGGTGGGCCACTCTCCCTCTGTCCCTGTCCTGGGCCCCGTCCCGGGGCTGATGTCAGGTGGCCCGTCCGGTTGCTGCAGTTGGAAAAGGACCATTATTGCAGGATGGGCCGATAGGGCTTGATAAGCTTTAACAGGACAGGGGGACACGGACTCAGGGAGCCCAGGAGTGGGAGCTGGAACAATAGGGCATAAATCCCAATCCCTCTCCTTGGGATCTGGTTGTGGCCGGTAGCTTCGGTACCGGACCCCATGGCTGCAGGCTTCTGGTGTCTGCTCACCCCTTCCCTGAGCAGGGAAACTCACTTGGTGACAGCAACTCGCATGCTGAAGTCTCAGCATGCACCCTCAGGGGCCCACAGAACTGTGGGGAGCAGGGGAGGGGGGGTGTCATTACTGGGTGTCATTGCTGTGGTTAAGACAGGATACCCCATCAGGGTCACCCTCATCTTGGGTGCCATGCCAGGCACACGCCTCACACGGGGTTGGCAGACAGTCCAGGGAGCTCCTGTGGGTTAACACACACCCGTGCTCTGGGGGCGGCGGCAGCCCCACCTTCGTGCTTCCCAGGCCAGATGTGGGCCTCTGCCCACTTAAATCTGGGGCAGCGGCTCCTGAGTGAGGGCAGGACGGTGGGGCGGGGCTCTGGGAGAGTGGCCCCTCCTGAGGTACCGTGTCTCAGAAGCCTGCCCTTTTGCACAATCCAGGAGGCTGGTTCTGCCATCACCTGTGCTCTCTGGCTTCTGCCTGGAGGCGTGTTCTACACATCACCCTCTTCCTGAGACAGCAGCCAAAAAGTGAGCGCCCTGCCGGCAGAGCTCCTCAGTGCTGCCGATCCAGTGCCTCCAACAGGGCCTGGGAGACAGCAGGGTCCTGGTGGGCATTTGCTGAATAAATGAAGTAGTACATGAAGGAGTAAAGCAGAGCTCTGCAAACTGCGGCTCCCAAGCCACACGCGGCTCTTTGGCCCCTTGAGTGTGGCTCTTCCACAAAACACCACGGGCTGGCGCGCACATACAGTGCGATTGAAACTTCGTGGCCCATGCCCAGATAAAGAGTTTGCCGACCCCTGGGATAAAGGCCTAATAAAGTTTGCCGATCCCCGGACCTAGGGCAGGGCTGGCGGACGGTCTCGCCACACGCTCCCCTGGGGCGAGGAGGAGCAGGCTCTGCAGGAGAAGGCTGCACAGGCTCGTCACCTGGGGGCAGGTCTGTTCTGCTCTGGGGTCCGCATCAAAGGACGGCCCCTGGCGAGGTATTTGTGGAAGCTCCTTTCCCCATTATTCTGATGAGTCAGCAGCCGTGGGCAGACCCACCCTGCCCTGGCAGTTTCCCACGTCTCCGCCACGCAGGTGGGACCCTCAGGTTAACCGCGCCCACACTCTGGCCACGTGCGCTGCCCAGCCAGGGCGATCCTGTGTTGGACTCACTCCGGGGAGCTCTTCCCCACTCCCTTTGGGCCAAGACAGGGTGTGGGTGTCATCCCCAGAGAGGCCCTTCTGGAACCCGCTGCTCTCTGGAGGCTTTGCAGGCCGCCTCTGTCCTCAAGCCCCAGGGAAGGGCCTGTGCCGCCCCTGCCCTCCAAGGAGCAGCTGCCACCTAGCCCACCCCTCAGCAGGCCTCCCCCCTGCCCCCCTCGGTCTGCAGAGTCAGAGTCTCCTAACGGCGTGTCAGGGAGCTGGCCCTGCTTAGGTGCCTCTTGCTCTTCTCGTGTGCAGGTTTGGGGGACCAGCACACACCCCAACTGTCCGCGACAGGCCTGAGCTCTCGCTGCCCTGCTGCCAGGGCCCTGCTGAGGAGCAGGCGGTCCTCGGGGAGCTTGCACTTTGGGCAGCACGTCCAGCCCACAGAAGCCTCGTTGCTCCTTCCTCCAGGCGGAGCCTGGCGCCTGAGGCCCCACACCTGAGGGCCACATCCTCACTCTGCGCTGGGGCCGGCTTCCCTCGGGCTCTACCTGTGTCAGGGCACGTGGCGGTGTCCCCCGGGGCATGGCCAGGTGTTGGCTCAGACCCGGCTGCCGATGGCACGGTGGACCCTATCCCCACCCTCGGTTTTGGCATTCTTGGCCAGGCTTCCCCTCACTGCCTAGGCCTCTGTTCTCCCAGGGGAAATAGGCAGAGCTCTTTGTCAAAGACAAACCAGCCCTGGACCCAGTTTACGAGCAGTCTGCTCCATGAACCTCTGCTGGGCATGGCTCTACTTCAAGCTTCACCCGTCTCTGCTCCTCCCCTCTCTGCTATTCACCTGCTCAGGTTAGCTGCGAAAGGGGAGTGTCAGAAACTCCTGGGCCCTCTCTCCTCAAGGGGCTCCTGTGTGGATTGGTGGTTAAACTTTGGGGGCCGTTCGTATTCTGATGTCCGACTTGTAATCATGAGGGAGGCAGGTGATCTGCGTGACCCAGGCTGATGTGGAGCTGACCCTGGTGGTGTGCTCTGCGCCTGCTCAGAGGCTCCAGCACAGAAGCTACCGGCACGCGTGGCTCGTCCGTGCAGAGATGGGCATGGACCGCAGTAGACGGAGGCCAAAGATCTTGACCCACGATGGTGTCACAGGACTCCCGCATGGCTTCACCGGCCTCACACTGACGGTAACGGTAACGTTTTCGGTGTGTTGGATTATGTGAGGTACGTTATCGAGATTCCCATAACCTGTCGGTGGTAACGTTCTTACGTGGCTGTTGGTGAATTGGAAACCACCTCTGTGGCTTGCATGCTGCTCCTTCTGGACACTTGCATGGACACTCCAGTTCCTGGAGGCTGGAGCCAGCAGACAACCGTTCTGGGGCCAGGTAGGGATGGTGTCAGCTTTGTGGACCACCACGGGGGTCTGCCACTCCTTTGTGTGGCAGTTGTATTGTGTTTTGTGCTGAAAGCCTGAGTGTCAGGTGACTTGTGAGGAAACCATGCCAATCAGGGCTGGTGCTGCTGTGTCCCACCCATGTCCCTTGGAGAAAAGGCATCCGGGCGAACATTATTGCTACAGGGGTCCTCGGCCTGTCTGACCAAAACTCTTATGGGGTAGGGGTCACGGGCTTCTGTCTCGTGTAGGGAGTCCGGCACAGCTCCACCCACAAACCCTAGGTCTGCACCGCAAGGATGCACTCCCAGTTCCCTCCAGCCCCTGGCCTCGTTACCGTGCGGCTTACCTGAGAGCTGGGAGAAGGGGGTCAGTGGTAACAGTGGACCTAGGGATGGGGCTCTGCTGGAGGTCACCTGCACAGCTGGATGGCCAAGCAGATGCCCACCTGGGCTCAGAGCCTGGCCGAGTGGGTGAGGGGAGGCTGGGTGGCATCTTCCCTAACCTGACTGTGACCTGCCTTATTTGAAACGAGATATGCCGTCAAAACCGGTTTGGCTCAGTGGATAGAGCATCCGCCTGTGGACTGAAAGGTCCCAGGTTCGATTCCGGTCAAGGGCATGTACCTTAGTTGAGGGTACATCCCCAGTAGGGGGTGTGCAAGAGGCAGCTGATCGATGATTCTTTTTCATCGATGTTTCTAACTCTCTATCCCTCTCTCTTCCTCTCTGTAAAAAATCAACAAAATAAATTTAAAAAGAAAGAAAAAAATGAGATGTGCCACCTCCATCTCATGGTGGATGCTCTTGGATTGTGTTCATTCCTCCTCTTGGCCAGAGGAGGTGGGGCCTCCCTGCAGTGTAGACGGGCTGCCACTGGCCAGCCTCCCAGTGCCTCTCACTGGGACGCATCTCCTCCTGGGGCCCTGACGGTCCTCTGGGGCAGGCGGCTCTCCTTTGGGTGCAGGTCTCTGCGCCGGCTTTGCAGGGCTGCACCTGCTCCCCTGTGCTCACTCCCCTTGTTTTTCCTCTTCCTTTGGCTAAATATCCTCTTGATTCTTTCCTCCACAAGAAAGCAAAAGTGTGTCCTTCTCTTCTCACTGAAGATAACTGTCTTTGGAGACCAGTGGCTAGTGGCACCATCATCCCTTCCCTGGTGGCAGCTGATGGGCTGATGCGGGTTTTCAAGAGCAGAGAAGGTTATGGGGCCAGAGGCTGAGCACCTGCAGCCCTGCTCCTGGCCCCAGTGTGCCCCGTGTTGGGGGTACACTCTGTCGATGCCGGACCCTCAGCCCTGGAGGAACCTGGAGTGGGTATGCAGGGCCCTCCGCTCCCGCTCCATGGCTGTCCCCTTCCCGCCTCAAGGCCACTTGCCCTGGGCGACCCTCCCGGAGTTCCTGAGGGCTTTGTTCCTATGAGTCATGCTGTTTCTTCTCTTTCTCTTTATTCTCTCTGTTTATTTTTGTCGTGTGACTCTGACCAGCCCGGCCACCCTGACTCCTGTGCGGGTGCTCACCTCCCTCCATGCTCCGGCCGCATGTGAGCGGGCCCGGCTCTCAGTGCGGCTGCCGGCACGGGGGCCATGGGGAACTCCGCTTCCTCGCTGGCCGCCGAGACCGAGTCGGACCACAGCTTCCCTGGGGGGCCATCCTTCCCAGGGCCCCCGGCAGCAGCCGGCTGTTGTAGGAGCGGCCCCGGGGCACCTGTCTGGGGCAGTGCCCTGCTTACCCGGCAGCACCAAACCCCACGCCCCCAGGCCCAAAGGTAAGAAAGATGGCGGGCCCCAGGGGGGGGGAGTGCTGCTCTGCTGGTGCCCTTCCTTTGGCAGAGGGGCTTGCCGAGAAGTGGGGACCCTATATCTTAGGGTCCTCTGGTGACCTGCTTCCCCTTAATGGCACGAGACCTGCAAGGCTCTGGGGCTGCTCCATGCTTGGCGGAGGAGCTGGCTGGGCCTCCGTCTGGTGCTTGTGATGGGGCAGCTTCTGGGGCTTTTTGCCTGGCGGGTGGGGAGTCTGCCAACCCCAAGCCTGGGTGGTGCTGGCACGCGCTGAGAATGCTGGCTTGCTTCTCACCGGGTTTGGGGGACACTGCTCAGGAACCCGTCTGTGTGTGTCACCCCTGCTCTGACATGGCTGCCTGTGGGGGGTAGGATTGTGGTGCCACAGGGGCAGACCTTCACATGCAAGCTTCCTCCGGCTGCGGCCGGACTGGCTCAGGTTTCCCAGCTCAGGCTGCCTGTTGGATCACCCCTCAGAGGTGCTGGAGTGACTGGTGTGAGGGCAGGGCAGGCTCCATGTCCCCCCCCCCTGGCATGGACGCCCTCTCACCCTGTCCCGAGGCCTTGCCAGGTGAGGGGTGCCCGGTGCTCAGCACACACTCAGGTTCCGCAGACCTTGGAGCAGAGGTGGGGGGGCTCCTGCTCTCTCAGGATGCCCGGCGTGGGTTCAATGGGTAATAGCTATCTTCTTCCTGTCGCAAAAGCATGTCCTGGGCTTTCCTGCCAGGTGGGCAGCAAGCAGGGTCCTGATGGGCGTGAGGAGGGGGCCAGACACGTGCCATGGCATGGGAGCTGAGGCTTGAGTCCCTGGCAGAGGAGGTATCTGGGGGGGGGTGGTTAGAGCTGCGTGGGAGAGTCTTGGGGGTCTTGTAGGTTACCCTGATAGCTTACAAGAATGGAGCTTGAGGTCCAGGAGCAGGTCGGTGGAGGGACTGGCGAGAGTTGGGAATGAGGTGCGGTGAATTCTTAGCGAATATCCCCTTGTTACTGTGTTGATGATGCATTTCTATGTCCCAGCTTTATTGAGATAGAACTTTCTACAATCAAATGCACCCCTCACAAGCATACAGTGCAGGTGTTTTTAGTCTGCCTATGGAGTTGTGCCACCATCACCACAATCCAGTTTTCAGCATCTTTCTGCCTCACAAAGATCCTGCTTGTTTGCCTCTCTCTCCCCAGACCACCACTCGGCTTCCTGTGTGTCTACAGATTTGCCTTTTCTAGAAATTTCCCGTCAGCAGAATCCTTTGTGTTCTGTGTCTAGCTTCTTTCACTGAGCCTAATGTTTTCAGGGTCTGTCCATGTACAGCGTGTGTTAATGCTTCATTCTTTTTATGACTGCATAGTATTCCACTGTCCGGGTAGCACATCTGTTTACACATCCCTCAGTTGCTGGAATTTGGTTTGTTTCCCCTTGTTTTTTATGTATTGTGCTTCTCAGAACATTTGTATATAAGTTTTTAGGTGATGTATGTTTTCAATTCTCTTGGGTCCCTGGCATGGACGCCCTCTCACCCTGTCCGGGTGAGGGGTGCCCGGTGCTCAGCACACACCCAGGTATCTACCTGGGATGGAATTTCTGAAGTTTATTGCAAATTTATATTTAACTTTTTAAAAGCATATTTTTATTTACTTCAGAGATGGAAAGATAGATGGATGAATGGATGGACGGACGGACGGACGGACAGACAGACAGACAGAATCAGCTGTATGCCCCACACTGGGGATTGTGCCTGAAACCTGGCATGTGCCCTGATCAGGAACCAGACGGTGACCTCATGGTACATAGGTCGACGCTCAACCAGTGAGCATGCTGGCTGTGCTGTATTTAACTTTTTAAGAAACTGCTGGACTGTTTTCCAAAGTAGCTATACCATTTTGCATTCCCACCAGCACAGAGAGCTCTAGAGAGCTCTAGTTAACACTTATCATCCATGGTTTTGATCCTGGCCCTTCTTGTGGGTGTGAGGTAGTGTCTCGTGGTGGTTTGATTTGCATTTTCCTGATGGTTGGCGATGTTGAGTATCATTTCAAATGTCCATCTATCCACACACGTCTTTTTACTTTCACTTATTTCCTTAGGGTAAGTTGGTAAAAGTAGAATTATTGGATCCCACGGAAAGAGGCTGGACCCCCGGGTGAGCAGCAGCTGAGCTGTGGACCCTGTGGCGTTTGCCAGGCAGTTTCCTGAGGCCTTGCGAGCAGTGTGTGTGTGTGTGTGTGTGTGTGTGTGTGTGTGTGTGTGTGTTAGACTTTGGACCTTGACTCACACCCTTACACCAACTGCCTGGTGACTTGGGTTGCCCTTTCTCAATCTAAGAAGCTGCCTCCACATCAGCATGCAGCCTTCTTGGCCAGGAGGCCCATAGCAGAGCTGGAGCAAAGAGAGCTGGGTGTGGCCACATCAGACTGCCAGGCTGGGGGCAGGAACTTTGATGGCCCAGGAGCTTTTCATCTTAATAAATTATTGGACCCTGGCCAGTTTGGCTCAGTAGATAGAGCCTCGGCCTATGGACTGAAGGGTTTCAGGTTTAATGCCAGTCAAGGGCACGTGCCCGGGTTGCAGATTCTATCCTTCTACTAGAAGGGGGCGTGCAAAAGGGAGCCAATCAATGGTCTCTCTCATCATTGATGTTTCTCTCACTCCCTCTTCTTCCTCTCTGAAATCAATAACAAAGATAAATAAGCAAACAAACAAACGTTTGGTGGGAGCGTGGGCTGTGTTCAAGCTCTGGGCCTTCCCTTGGAACACAGAGACAGGACGATGAAGGTGGCCTGTAATGAGGCCCCAGCACGTTTTGGAACTAACAGGGTATCCGGGATTGTGCTGCCACAACTGGACATGACATTCGGACTTCCTGGCGTGGTCCGCCAGGAGCCCAGCCTCAGGTTCAGTGGCTTGGCCTTGTGTGTGGACACTACTTACTGCTCTCAGCTTTCCAGGGAAGCAAAAAGGTCATCTCCCAGGACGGGGCCGCTCACATCCCTGCAAACATGCATGTCCTGGGCGCTGGGTGGACTTCACAGAGAGCCCCAAGGGCAGTTCCATAGCCTCCCTTTTGACTTAGAAGTGGGTGTTGGTGACTCGGATAATGAGGGTAGAGAAGGTATTTGTTGTTGAGTTTTTCTGGACAGTTGTCTCAGTATTTCATTTTACTTGGTCTCCCTGTTGGAAGGAGTAACTCGGGCAGCCAGTTTCCTCCCGCAGAAGTGATTGCTTCTGTGTCTTGGAGCACAAGTGACTCAGCCTCTGAGTGAGTGTCATAGAACTTGGGAACATTTTATGTTGAGAGTTTGGTTTGACTCCAGGTTCCCAACCCCCTCTCTCTCTCCCTCTCTCTCTCTCTCAATATATTTTATTGATTTTTTACAGAGAGGAAGGGAGAGGGAATAGAGAGAAACATCGACGAGAGAGAAACATCAATCAGCTGCCTCCTGCACACGCCCCACTGTACATGCCCTTGACTGGAATCGAACCCGGGACCCTTCAGTTGGGCCCTGGCCAGTTTGGCTGTACTGTATTTAACTTTCTAAGAAACTTCAGTCCGCAGGCCAATGCTCTATCCACTGAGCCAAACCGGCCAGGGCCCATCCTTCTCTTATTTCTAGGCTTTGCTTGGCGATCTGGCCTCACCTTTGGACACTCCAGGGATTTCACACCTCTGGGCCTCGCTGAGTGTCTCCTGCGCCCCAGACGTGTCAGGGTGGCCGTCGAGGGTGGCCACACTGCTCCCCTGCTCAGCGTTCCTCTCTCTCTCATCACTGACTGACCCCTGAGCCACTTCTCACTACCGATGGCACCAAGATGGGTGTGAGCTGTAAGGTGTGGGTTGCTGGTTGGTGAGGGATCAGCTGTGCCAGCACCATCCCCAGAGCCTCCTCCTAGCCAGAGGCTGCCCAGCTCACTGTTTCCCCAGGGCTAAATTGGATTTCTAGGCCCCGTTTTCATTGAAACTTTTCTGAACTCCAGACAAAACCTTCCTGATTCTTGTCCCGGGACGGCTGTGGAACCTGCCCTGTCCCAGGTGCTGTCCAGGACCTGCAGACACCTTGCCTTGTGTGCAGCTGGCCCAGGCCAGGGACTGGCCAGCGGGTGGGTTACCCAGTGAACAGGACTGGGATCTGTGCCCTCCAGCGTTTGCAAGGCTGTCCTTGCTCAGTGTGCCTGGGACCTGCAGGCGTGCGTCCTGGGAGGGTCCTGAGGCTTTTCTCTGGAGACCTCCCAGGCCAGGTGGGGTGCGCAAGATGGGTGACCATCCCCTGAGCCTGGGGTTGGGCAGAGGCTGCCTGGGCTCCAGCCTGTGTGTGCACGTGGTGCGGTGGGAACACGGTATGCCACATCTTGACTATGGGCCCTTCTCTGATGAGGAGCAGTGGGAAGAGGTATCCAGGCAGATTTCTTAGGTTCACACAGCACCGAAGCCAGGGCTGAAGCTGAGCTGGCCCGTGGCCAGGCCCCTATGCCGGTGCTTGGTGCCCACTTGCTTACCCCGAGGCCTAGTCCACAGGAGGCGGCTTCACAGAGTTTGCTTTGGGTCTTGGGAAACAGTCGTGTTGCCCAGGGTGGATTTTTCTGTTCTGTTATTGAAGAGGCAAGTTTTCTTTCTTCTTGAACCAAAAGAGTTTGGTGTGAGTCTCGCATTAGAAGACAAGGTTCATGCCTTGTTGTAGAGAACAATTGATTTTTTGGCCAGCAGAGCAGCCGTGTAGGAGAGAGTGTGTTGTGGTGTCTGGGCACCCCCTTGAGGCCAGGTTAGCCCGTGAGAGGCAGGTTAAGGGGGTCAGCCTCACCCTCCCCTCAGACCTATTACCCCGAATGGGTGGGAGGAACCATTCGGGGGCATCCCAGCTGCCCTGCTGTGGGCCTTAGCGCCTTCTGCCCCCGGGAGAAGCCGAGGCCCAGCCTTGGGGGAGGTGGGCAGGCCAGATGCCCAAGAACCCACCCAGCAACGTGAGCTGCATGCCAAGGCTCCAAGCAGCTCTCGGGGCAGGCTGTGCAAGGAGACCCTAAGAGGGTGGGAGGTGGGTGCCCTGCCCTGCCCTGCCCTGCACCCCCAGCAGCGTCCTGAGAGCCACGGGCAGGTCTCCGGACTCCCACCTCCCTGTCCTTCAGGCCTGGCAACTTTGAGGTACCGTGTCCTCTGGCCGCACCTGGCCTGTGGTGCAAGGCTCCCTGAGGGCCCTGCTCCAGGACCAGGGCCTGAGGGTCTGCCATGCCCCTGAGGTGAAACCCATCCTGGTGTGTCTGACAGCAGCTCCCCCACCCACTGCTGCACAGCCAGAGGCCTTCTGGGATAGAAGCTCAGGGGGGGTGGAGCCACCCTGAGTGTTGTCAGCTCTGTAGCTGCACCCAGGTGCCTCCCCCAGCCAGTCTCCATCTGTATCAGAAGGGCAGTGCCCTGCTGCACACAGGATCTCTCAGGTCTGGCTGAGGCTGCTCAGGACATGGTCTCCCTGCCCCTTTCCCCCTCTTTGCTTGGATATCCCCACAAACACTCGCTCTCCCCGGGCTCGGCAGCCTGTCCCCCACCACCACTCTGTGGGCCTACCGTGGCCCCACCACCTTGGGACACGGGCTACAAGAGGAAGAGGGTTTGCATGTTGCTTCAAGACACTGAGCTGCCTCCTTGAACCTCCGTCAAGCAGGACTGGGCCAGCAGTGGTCCAAGTGGGCAGATGAGTGGAGAGTCCTCAGCCCCCACAGAGCTCAGGGGCTGCTGGAGTGCAGATGGATCACTGCCCGTGGCTGGAGACGGTCAGTCCAAGGGCCTTGGCATAGGGACAGACTCAGTGGATGCCGCGAACTCTGCTAGGTTTCACTTTGTGGTCAGATACTTGTATCCCTCAGCATGTGTCAGGATTGGCTCCCACCCAGGAAACTCCAGAAGCAGAAGGCCAGCTGGGAGCCAGCTTGGAGATGACCATGCACACCCTTGCCATCTCCTCATGTACTCAAGCTTTTTTTATGCGGTGAAATTCACGTGATAAAACTATTTCAAAGTAAACAATAAATTACTTAGTAAATTCACAGTGCGCAGCCATCACTTCTACCTAGATACAAAACATCTTCACCATCCCGGAAGAAACCTTGGCCCAGCACACAACTGCTGTCCAGCCCCTGGAGCCACCAGTCTGCTTTCTGCCTCCAGGAATTTACCTGTCCTGGATGTTTCCTGTAAATAGAATTATACAACATGCAGTCTTTCGTGTCTGGCACCTTTCACTCGGCGTGTTTTCAAGATTATCCATGTTATAGCATACGTCAGAATTTCATTCTTTATTCATTGGTGGACATTTGGGTTGTTTCCATGTTTGGCTATTAAAATAGAATGTGTGTGTGTATGTATATGTGTAGAATACTACTTTTTACTTCTGTGGGGTAAAGACCTATGGCTGCAATTGCTGGGTCATATGGTAGGTCAGCTTAACTTTTTGAAGAACTGTTTTCCATAGCCACTGTGCTATGTATTATTTTGCATTCCCATTGGCCAACTGCAGGGGAGGGCTCCAGCTTCTCCACAGTTTCAGCAGCACTTACCTGCAGGTTTGATATTGGCCATCCTAGTGGGTATGAAGTGGTGTGTCAGGAGTTGTGATTTGCATTTCCCTGATAACTAGTGGTGAGCATCTTTCCATGTGCTTATTGGCCATTTGTGTATCTTCTTTGTAGAAATGTCTATTCAAGTCCTTTGTGAACTTTTAAAACAGGTTGTTTTTGTTGTTTCGTTTTAAGGGTTCTTTACATATTCTGGACCAAGACCCTTATCAGATAATACAGTTTGAAAATATTTCCTTCCATTTTGCAAGTTGTCTTTTCACTTTTTTTTTTGAAGTCCAATTTTTTTTCTTTATTTGCCCATGCTTTTGTGTCATGTCAACTAATCCATTGCTAAATCCAAGGTCATGAAATTTTACCTATGTTTTCTTCTAAGAATTCTGCAGCTTTTGTTCCTACACTTAGGTCACTGGTCCATTTTCAGTTGATTTTTTAATACAATGAGGTAAGAGCCCAACTTCATTCTTTAGTGTTTATATCTAATTGTCTAGCACCATTTGTTAAAAAGACTATCTTTTCCCCATTGAATGGTCTTGGAACCCTTGTTAAAAAATCACTCCACCACATATGTGAGGGTGTATTTCTGGACTCTTCATTCTGTCCCATTGGTCATAAAAACCATATAGTATAGACATATAGTCTGTCCTTACACCAGTACCACACTGTCGACTTTCTACCTCTTTTCAAGATTGCTTTGGCCACTTGAGGGCTCTTGTAATATAGTGTGAATTTTAGAAACAACTTTTCAATGGCTGCAAAAAACAAAAAGCCGTAGGGATTTTGATAGGGATTGCATTGAATCTATAGGTCACTTTGAGTAGTATTGTCATAATTATATTATCTTTTAATCCATGAACATAGGATTTTTCTATTTATTTAGGTCTTTAATTTGAGTAATTTTTGTAACTCTGAGTGCCAGTCTTTCACCTCCTTAGTTAAATTTATTTCTAGGTGTTTTATTAGGTGCTATTTTTAAAAGGTATTGTTTTCTTTTTTTAATTCTCACCCACAGACATGCTTTTTCATTGATTAGAGAGAGAGAAGGGAGAGGGAGAGAAAAAAAGGAACATCAATGTGAGAAGGAAGCATCCATTGGTTGCCTCACGCACATGCCCCGGCCAGGGATTGAATTCGAAACATGGTATGTGTCCTGGCAGGAATTGAACCTGTGATCCTCTGGTACATGGGACGATGCTGTAACCACTGAGTTACACTGGCCAGGGCAGTATTGTTTTCTTAACTTCCTTTTCAGATTGGTCACTGCTGGCACAGACATATGGCTGATTTTTGTGTGTTGATCTCGTGCCTAACAACTTTGCCGAATTCATTTATTAGCTCTATCAGTCATTGTTTTCTTATTATGTAGATTCTTGGGATTTTGTGTAGAATTATATTATCTGCAAACGGAGACTGTTTTACTTCTTCCTTTACAATTAGATGCCTTTTATCCCTTTTTCTTGCCTAATTGCTCTGGCTAGACCTGCAGTGCAGTGTAGCTAGCATGTGGAGTTCCTGACCTGGAGGAAAGCATGCATGCCTTCGCCTCAGGGCGTGCTGCTCACTCTGGGTGCTTGGCTGATGCCCTTTCTCCTACTCCTTCCTGACTGAACAGCCAGGGCCCTGTGGTTACCAAGATGGTGTGGCTCTGCCCATTCCTCTGTGCCCACGGGTCCACCCCTCCAGAAAGGATTTGAGGACAGAGCTAGGGGGTTCTTCAGAGGCTTTGGGGGGCCTCTTACTCCTCAGAGTCCTTGCCCCTCACAGGCCTGATGTCTGTCACAGCCCAGAAAGGCACAGATCCTGCTGGCCTGACCCCCCCCCCCCTCATCCCAGGTGGCGACGGGGGCACCATCCCGTGGGCCTCTACTGACGGGGCCTTCCCTTGCAGCCACACGCCCTCGCCCGGGTCCATGGCCACGGTGGGAGAGTGGTCCTGCGCGCGCTGCACCTTCCTGAACCCGGCCGGCCAGCGCCAGTGCTCCATCTGCGAGGCCCCCCGGCACAAGCCTGACCTCGACCACATCCTGCGGCTCAGCGTGGAGGAGCAGAAATGGCCCTGCGCCCGATGCACATTCCGGAACTTCCCGGGCAAGGAGGCCTGCGAGGTGTGCGGCTTCGCCCCAGAGCCCGTGCCTGGCACCTCCCTGTTGCCAGTCATCAACGGGGTCCTGTCCAAGCCGCCCACCATCCCGGTGGAGCCCAAGGGCAGCTGCAAGGAGGAGGCGGGGCCAGCGCAGCCAGAAGAACTCGTGGCCATGGCGCCGGGGGCGGGCCGGCCCGCGGGGGAGGAGGGGGCGGCGGCGGCGGCCGAGCTGGGGAGCGGCTGGGCCTGCCCTCGCTGCACGCTGCACAACACGCCCGTCGCCAGCTCCTGCTCTGCCTGCGGGGGCCCCCGGAAACTCTCGCTGCCCAGGATCCCTCCCGAGGCCCTAGTGGTGCCCGAGGTCGTGGCCCCCGCCGGCTTCCACATCACGCCCGCCCCCCCCCAGCCGGGGGAAGGTGCCGAGGCCGACCCTCCCTCTGCTGCTGACCAGGAGCCGCCCCCCCGCCTGCCACCGTTCAGCCCCTTCTCGCCCACCTTACAGAACAACCCCGTGCCTCGCAGCCGCCGAGAGGTACCCCCCCAGCTGCAGCCACCGGTGCCTGAGGCCGCCCAGCCCTCACCCCCTGCTGGCTTCAAGGGGCCCCCCCAGAGCCCAGGGTGGACCCCAACTGGGGCCTCCCGCCTGGCAGAGCGGCTGGCAGGCAAGCGGCTGAGCGCCCTGGAGGAGGAGGAGGCCGAGGCCGGCTCCGTGCTGCGCCGCTGCAGCTCCTGCTCGGCCCCCGGCCCCTCGAGCCAGTGCGAAGCCTGCGGCGCCGCCCCGGGCAGCGATGTCATTGACCTGGCCGGTGACACTGTGCGCTTCACGCCCGCCAGCCCCTCCAGCCCCGACTTCACCACGTGGTCGTGCGCCAAGTGCACGCTCAAGAACCCCACAGTGGCCCCTCGGTGCACGGTGTGCGGCTGCTCCAAGCTGCACGGCTTCCAGGAGCACGGCGAGCCCCCGGCGCGCTGCCCCGACTGCAGCGCCGACAGGCCCAGCCCCTGCGCTGCCCACAGAGCCGGCCGCCTCTTCCCCGAGCGCCCCGGCCAGTGGGCCTGCCCTGCCTGCACGCTGCTCAACGGGCCGCGGGCCAAGCACTGCGCCGCCTGCCACACGCCCCAGCTCCTGGAGGCCCAGCGCCGGGGGGCCGTGCCCCTGAGGCGCAGGGAGAGCATGCTGGTGGAGAAGCGGCGGCAGACGGATGAGGGGGAGGCCAAGGCCCTCTGGGAGAACATCGTGGCCTTCTGCCGGGAGGTGAGTCCGCCGGGACCGTGGTCCACCACCAGGGCCGATGCTCCCCTTCCCACGGGCCTCTCTCTGTGTCTTTTGTCCTCCTGCCGCCTTCAGCCACGGAGAGGGAGGGACCAGCGGCAAGAGAGGCAGCATTCTCTTCCCCGAGCTCAGCATTCACCTGGCACCCACTCACCCCTCACCTGAGTGCGACTAGCCCCCACTATCCACGTCTTGCCCCTTTTGTCTCTGCCCACAGAGTCCCTGGCCGCCTAGTCTCTGGTCCTGACCCCTCTCAGCTGTGACTTTCCATAGACATTGAAGCCACGAGGAGGTGGGGACAGGCTTCACGTCAACAGGCAGGCGCTGTTTCCTTCAGCTGGGGAGACATGGCCAGAACTCGGGGTTCTCTTGCCCTTGGAGCTGTGGGAGGCCTGAGCCCAGGGTAGTGTCACTTCAGGTCAACGGGGGGCTGGTCTTTTTTTCGTTTTTAATATATTTTATTGATTTCAGAGAGGAAGGGAGTGGGAGAGCGACAGAAACATCAATGATGAGAGAGAATCATGGATCGGCTGCCTTCTGCATGCCCCCCACTGGGGATCAAGCACACAACCGGGGCATGTGCCCTTGGCTGGAATCAAACCCGGAACCCTTCAGTCCTCAGGCTGATGCTCTATCCACTGAGCCAAACCAGGGAGGGCCCATCTGGTCTTGGGTCCTGCCTTCCCCATCCCGGTTGGGTCCTCCCACCTCTCCTCCTGGGGCCTTTATGTGGTGGTCCATGGACTACCTGGCGATGCTGCCCCAGTTCCCTGTGCCCCATGCCCTCCACGTCTGCAGCCTCCAAGCTGGTGGCGTCACCATTTCCTCGGGGCATACACACCTCCCATTGACCTGTCGCCAGGCTTCAGTGACATGGTTTGCTACCGTCCCCCATGCCTGCACAGCTGAGCTCACCACACAGGTCAGGGTGGCTACACACACCTGCCCCCTTTCCTCTGGGACTCAGGTAGCATTTTCAGGTGCTGTCCTGGCCTGCCAGGTGGAGCGAGGTGCACTCAGGCCAGGGGCGGCCCAACTCAGCTGAGCATGTGTGGCTCTGGTCTCTGCAGAACAGCGTGAACTTCGTGGATGACAGCTTCCCACCCGGGCCCGAGTCTGTGGGCTTCCCTGCAGGCGACAGCGTCCAGCAGCGCGTGAGACAGTGGCTGCGGCCCCACGAGATCAACTGCTCCGTCTTCAGGGACCACAGCACCTCCTGGTCCGTGTTCCACACCCTCCGGCCCTCAGACATCCTACAGGGGCTGCTGGGCAACTGCTGGTGAGTTTGAGGTGTCCGCCCAGGCCGGGAGGTGGGACAGCCTGGCCGTGCTTTCCATTGAGGCCCCGGCCCTGCGCAGGTTCCTGAGCGCTCTGGCCGTGCTGGCCGAGCGGCCGGACCTTGTGGAGCGGGTGATGGTCACACGCAGCCTGTGCGCGGAGGGCGCCTACCAGGTGCGGCTCTGCAAGGACGGCACGTGGACGACGGTGCTGGTGGACGACATGCTGCCCTGCGACGAGGCCGGCTTCCTCCTCTTCTCGCAGGTGGTAGGGGGGGTGGGCGCGGGGCGGGCGCGGGGCGGGTCTCGGTGGGCCTCGTGACTTCGGCCCCTCCCTGCAGGCCCAGCGGAAGCAGCTGTGGGTGGCCCTCATTGAGAAGGCGCTGGCCAAGCTGCACGGCTCCTACTTTGCCCTCCAGGCAGGGCGCGCCATCGAAGGCCTGGCCACCCTCACCGGGGCCCCCTGTGAGAGCCTGGCGCTGCAGGTCAGCTCCACTAACCCCCGAGAGGAACCCGTTGACACTGACCTCATCTGGGCCAAAATGCTGAGTTCTAAGGAGGCTGGGTAAGAGGGGCGGGTGCTGCGGCGGTCAGCAGCTTTGGGAGGAGAGGAAAGAGGAGGCAAGGGGACAGCCAGGCCGGGGCCTGGAGCGGTGGGCTACTCAGGGGCAAGTACCCTCTGACCAGCAGCCTGTGTTTCACAAGACGTTTCCAGTGTGGGCTGACCACAGGTAGTTAGAAGGCCTGATCTGCAGCCCCGTCCTCTCGCACTGCTGGCTCATGGGTCCCACCTGCCAGTCCACGGCGGTAGGCAGAATACTGCTGATCAGACCTGGGCCAGGGTGACCATCAGCACCTGCTTGGACACCGGTGGAGGCACTTAGTGGGGGTGGGCTGCCTTCTGAGACCTGGCAGGCATTGGCCAGCGTGGCTGTAAGGGCACCGAATCCTAAGCCCGAGAGAGATGGCGTGGTGCTGAGACCCGCTGCTCTCAGCTGATAGCAGGCATTACCACCGCCCCATCCCCTCAGGACGTGTGGCCCGGAGCTGATGGGGCCCAGGCCTCCCAACGCCCAGCCCAAACACTGGGAGCTCTGGGGCCACTGTAGGGAGCAGGCCAACACTCCCTGAGCCCTGGGTGTCTTTCCTGTGTTCCTGGGATCCGCTCTCCCCCACAGGCAGGCAGGCAGGCAGGGCCCCACCCTCAGGGTAGCAGAGGCCCCTGGTGAGTGAGCCCTCCTCAGTGAGGGAGGCTCCTGTTGCTAAGGGGCCCCATCATCAAGAACCCCTGGTCAGCAAGCCTGTCCGGTCAGCGAGGCCGCTCTGCCCACACAGGTTCCTCATGGGCGCCTCCTGTGGGGGAGGCAACATGAAGGTGGACGACGCTGCCTACGAGAGCCTGGGCTTGCGCCCCCGCCACGCCTACTCCGTCCTGGACGTCCGCGATGTCCAGGGCTCCAGGTAGGCGCTGGGTGGCCGTGGGTCGCCGGGGCATGTGGGTGTGTGGTGGCAGCCGTGGCCCTCAGCCCCGTGGTCCGCAGGCTCCTGCGCCTCCGGAACCCGTGGGGCCGCTTCTCCTGGAATGGCAGCTGGTCGGACGCGTGGCCGCACTGGCCGGGGCACCTGCGTGGTGAGCTCATGCCGCACGGCAGCAGCGAAGGGGTCTTTTGGATGGAGTACAGCGACTTCATCAGGTACCTGGACTGCGCAGCAGGGGGCGTCCGGTGTCTTCCTCTCGGCCCCCCTGTGCTCTAGCCACCCTCACTTTGGCCCGTCTGACCTGTCTCCCTCACTCCCTTGCCCTGACCCCAGTATGTCCTACTGGGGAGCCTGGCCTGTCCCTCGGCAGACCTGAGGCGGAGGTGGGGTGATGAGAGAGCCTGTGGGAGTTGGGTTCTGCCCTGAGGACTCTTTTCCTCTCGGGGTCATCCTTGGGCATGGGGCCTCCTAGTGGTGTTCGTGGGCAACAGCCAGGAAAAGGTTTTAGGACATTGGTCCCCAGAAGTGGCCAGGGCACAGTGGGGCGGAGATTGGGAAGGGAAAACGGCTTAGGGAGGTGCCTGGACTCCTGTTGGGAACGGCTCCTGTATCTAGAGCTATTCAGTGGGCTGTCTCTCCCTGCTCAGGTACTTCGACTCTGTGGACATCTGCAAAGTGCACTCGGACTGGCAGGAGGTGCGGGTGCAGGGCTGCTTCCCCAGCTCGGCCAGCGGGCCCGTCGGGGTGACGGCGCTCACCGTGCTGGAGCGTGCGTCCCTGGAGTTTGCCCTCTTCCAGGAGGGTAGCAGGTGAGGGAGGCTGTGCTCTCGGGGGGAGAGGTGGGTGGGACGAGAGCACCGGTTGGGGTGGGCACACGGATCCGAGGGGTTTGTGGAAACGGGGCGGGGTGGTGCCGTGGGGCGGTAGAGCCACCGACAGCAGGTGCTGGGTCTGGCCGTAGGCGTGCGGACTCTGCTGACAGCCACCTCCTGGACCTGTGCGTCCTGGTTTTCCGAGCCTCCTTCGGCAGCGGCGGCCGCCTGAGCCTGGGCCGCCTGCTGGCCCACAGCAAGCGAGCTGTCAAGAAGTTTGTCAACTGTGATGTGATGCTGGAGCCCGGCGAGTATGCCGTGGTGTGCTGTGCCTTTAACCACTGGAGCCCCGCCACGCCGGGCCCACTGGCCACCACACAAGGTAACATGGCCCCCTGAGCCCCATCCCCAGCCCTCCCCACCGCAGCCCCAGGCCCCCTCACTCACACCCTCCACAGCCTCCAGCCCCTCAGCAGGGGTTCCGCGCTGCTCCCTGGAGCCGCCCGGCCATGTGCTGGCTGTGTACAGCTCAAGGCTGGTCATGGTGGAGCCCGTGGAGGCCCAGTCGACCACGCTGGCAGATGCCATCATCCTCCTCACGGAGAGCCGAGGGGAGCGGCATGAGGTGAGGTTGGCAGGGGGCGGGGGGAGGTGCGGGGCTGGAGGAGGAGGCCTCACCCCACCCACACCTGCCCTGTCCCTGCAGGGACGTGAGGGCATGACCTGCTACTACCTGACGCACGGCTGGGCAGGGCTCATCGTGGTGGTGGAGAACCGGCACCCCAAGTCCTACCTGCACGTGCAGTGTGACTGCTCCGACAGCTTCAACGTGGTGTCTACCCGCGGCAGCCTGCGCACCCAGGACAGCGTGCCACCCCTGCACAGGTGGGCACCGCCCCAGTCCTGCCCCCTCCCTGGCCTCCACTGGCCCTCACCGGCCCCCTCCCCCAGGCAGGTCCTGGTGATCCTGTCCCAGCTCGAGGGCAACGCCGGCTTCTCCATCACCCACCGCCTGGCACACCGCAAGGCAGCCCAGGCCTTCCTCAGCGACTGGACCGCCTCCAAGGGCACCCACAGCCCCCCCCTCACACCCGAGGTTGCCGGCCTGCACACGCCCCGGCCGTTGTGACCGCCCTGCCCTCGCCTGCCTGCCTCCCACATGCACTTTAGGAGGGAGACCCCAACAGAAGATGCTTGAACCAGAATCTCAGGACCCCACCCAGGGAGCTGCAAGCCACAGAGCAGACCTTCCCCCGGGCCTTCCTCCCTGGGCCTCCCCGCCGCCAAGCAGAATACCTCCACCCGCTTCCAGCGCCAGGGCCTGCACCAGCTCCTCTGACCAGCCTGCCTGAGGCCGGGCTCAGATTGCCAGGACTGAGGTGTGGCCGCCCTTCTCCTGTGGGCCCGGGGCCTCCTGCCTGTGTGAGGCAGCCAAGAGCTCCATTTACAAAACCAAATCTGGGCATGTCAGAGGCCGGGGTCCCAGGGTGAGCAGGGACCACCCCATCCCCCCTTGTGGGGATCAGAGCCTGGGACCCCAGGATGAGCAGGGACCACCCTTGTGGGAGTCAAAGGCCAGGACTCCAGGGTGAGCAGAGACCACCCTCTTGTGGGGTCAGAGGCCAGGACCCCAGTGTGAATAGGGACCACCCCCTTGTGGGGGTCAGAGGCCAGTACCCCAGTGTGAGCAGGGACCAGCCCCTTGTGGGGCATGAGCCTCCTATCCCCAGCTTGCTTCAAGAGCCCATCTTCCCACCCCTTGGACCCCCACAAGACAAGCAGGGGCCCCTGGAATCCCAGCAGTGTATCCCAGGAGGCAGGTGCCTGGCGACCATGGGCTCAGGGCCAGGGATGGGGAGGGTCCTAGCTGCCCGCCCCCTCTGGCGACACTATGCAATTCCTGGACCACTAGTCAGGATCGAAGCCATGCCCCGGGGGCCACGGGTCAGGAGCTGCCATTGGAGAGGTGGTTTGTCCTCAGCACCACTGACCTCTGCCAGGAAGACCAGGGTCCAAACAGAAGTCCTTGGCCAGCCCTGTCTGGCACACACAGGGAGGTGTGGCTCTCCCCAGCGCCTCCCCTGCCTCAGAAGCCTCCCAGCTGCCCTCCCCCATGGCTGCTCAGAGTCCTGCACCTGCCTGTGGACCTGAGGCCAGCTTCCAGGGGCCCGCCTGGCCTCTGCCCTCCCGCCCCCAGGCAGGGGGCAGCTCTGCCCACCGCCCCTCACTCCCCTGGGGTTTGCGGGGGGGTTTACAACTGGAGAAACACCAGGAAGCACTACACTCCCCTTTGGGCCTCCTTTATATTTTCTCCTTTTACTCTCGAGCTGTGAATATTTTTAACCCTGTACATACAGCCAGCTCTTCTGACACAGAGACTATTTTATCAGCCATCCCCGCCCCGTAGGATGATCCTCCATGGTGTTTCCAGACTCAGGCTCTGATGGACCAAATGAAATGTTTTGTTTTATAATGCTGCCGCCTCATCTGTCTGTACCCGCCCCCCGCCTGTTATGTGCAGAACCTGTGATGGTGGGGTGGCTTCCTGGTACCGGAGTTCACCCTCACAAGGAGCTGTTAGGGCCGCCTGCTCACAGCTGCCTTTGACCCAGAAAGGAGCAAGTGTCCAGAGGGTGGGGGGTCGGCAGGCCGGTCCCCACAGCCCTCAGCCGCACGCAGACGGGATAGTACGGAGGTGCGGCTTTCCCAGAGACATCTTTCTGGGGTGCCTTCTGGGGTCATCAGTCATCAGGCAGGAGCAGGTGGAGCATGGGGGCCGATGAGGAAGAAAAGTTTCCATTCTCCTGGGGGTTGCAACCGGCTACTGTCTGGCCCCGGGTCCCTCCCGTCCACTCTGGGAGGCCCCATCCTCACGTCACAGGGAGCAGCGAAGGCCAGCTCCCGCTGTGGTACAGGGTTTTTGGTCTCAGTCTAGGCTCCTCCCTGATTGGGGGGGTGGGCCTGGAGTACAGAGGCTGGCACTCAGCGAGCGTAAGAGGCCTGTCACAGGCCAGCCTATCGAATGTGAAAGCAATTAAAGCCACCAGCAGTGTTCGCTCCGGGCGGGCCTCGGGCAGCGGGGGAGCTGCCACAACACATCTCACCTCGACGCCCAAAGACGCCCGCCCCGATCCAGGCGCTGTGCGGGCCGCGGACCCTCTCCCGTGGGGCGGGGCCGGGCCTCGCAGACCCTCCAGCCCTCGGAAAGCTGGCTCGGTCGCCCCTGCGGCGGTCAGGCAGCCTGGACCTGTTCCAACAGCCTGGCGTCCTGCGGTGTCAGCCAGGCAGCGGTCCGCACGGCGGGTCATGGGGCTGCATGCCGATCCCCTCGGCCAGCCTGGAGACCCTGCTCCCCCCAGCCAGCACCCTCCCCTTGGGCCCCAGCCTGCAAGGGAAGAGGATCCAACAGGGAGAAAGTAAGAGAAGGCCCAGGTGCCCCCAACCCTGGAGGGCACAGTGTCCAAGGAGTTGGGGGGCCCACAGGAAAGACCCTTAGTCATGGCACTGAAGCTTGAGGGACGGGCTGGCAGGGCCAACCACTAGAGGGGCTGAGGCAGCTGGTGGTGAGAGGATGGGGGAGCCAACCCAGCCTGAGGGGTGAGCCACCGGTTGTGCTCTCAGCCCTACAGGGTGGCACCTGGACCCCAGGCTAGCGAGTGGACTGGGCAAATGACCACAGCAGGGGAGGGCATGAGATGGGTACTGCCACCCTCATCACTGTTTGGCTGGGCGCCACACAGCCTGCTGCATCCCCCCTGACTGCTGGGGCTCCTGCTTGAAGGCTCTCCTTTCTTCCCTTCTCTTCCCAGCCCTCCCGTTCCCAGCACCCCTGGCCCCCTCCTCCTCTCTGCTACTTGGGTTGGCCCTGTGTGCCCCCACTCCCCTCTCCCCCAGCCCCTGTACCAGGCTGTCTGCCCACCCGTTGGCCGAGGCAGCCTTCCCAGGGAGGGCGGTGCTGTGTTCTCACTTGGCATCCCTGTCAGAAGCACTTAGTGTACAAATTAGCCTCTGCCTCCCGCCTCCCTCACACAGCTCTGGGCGCTGGACTGACAAGGCTGAGGCTCCCGGCCCTCTCCCGCCTGCCCCGGGGCTGGGGCGCCAGGCCCGTGCACCCCTGGCCACCCACCCACAGCCCAGGAGGAGGGTGGCCCCCAGCCGCCAGGGCTTCTCTCGAGGACCCAAGCTGATCCGGATGGGACCTCAGAGGGCGGGGCGTGCAGGGATATATCGGGGGCCAGCACCTGGATCCACCCCGTGTCAGGTCCCCGTTGAGAGCCATGAGGGACAGACGGGAGCCATGCAGAGGCTCTGCAGCCCCCGCTCGCTGGCCAGCCTGCCACTCAGGCAGGAAAAATCGGCTGTGACAGGCCCAGGAAGGCCAGGCCCCGGGGGCCGAAGAGCAGCGCACACAGCTCCTCTTCCAACATATGGTTGCTGTCGGCCTGGGGCGCTGCTTGGCCGGTGCCGGCTGAAGCTGGGTGGGGGCTCAGGGGGCCCAAGCCACTCAATCCCACCCACCTGGCCAGGCTGCTCCCTCTGATCCAAAGGCTCCCGTGCCAGTCCGCGTGCCAGTCCGCGTGCCTCCCACAACGGGGAGCTCACTCCCGCTGCAGCCTCGTCACAGCCGTCTGAGGCACAGTCTCCACACCCCACGCCAGAGCACCACTGGGGACCTGGTGCATCCGGGGTACAGCACATGGGAGGGCAGCTGGTTAGATGGCGCGGCACATTTGAAGTAGGCCCGGGACAGCCTGCCGGCCCAGGGAAGCGGATGCAGGGCCTGCTAGGGTCCCTGGTGTCAGAGGCCTCCCAGCTGGGCCCCTTCCCTTCAGGGGGGCAACTCCGGCAGCCCCTCACAGGTTCCCTCCATGTCACTGAATGGAGTGGCGAACACTTGCTGGGATCCCCATCTACACAGTCACCCAGCCCCATCACCGGCTCTGCCCCGCCCCTCCACCCTGCTGTGGGCCCCAGTGCTCTTGGGAGCAGTGACCTCAGTATGACCGCCTTACAGCCAAGCCCTGGGCCCATCCCTCCCAGCCATGGCTCCCTGAGGCCACCTTGAGTGGGCAAGGCGGGAGGAGTGCCAAGGATGACCCGTGCTCTGGGCCCCAGGGGCGTGTGGACACCAAGGTTGCCATATGTCCCGGGGCTCGTCAGCGTGTGGGTGAACAAGCCATGGCATCACCCTGCATGGTGCTGACCCCTCAGAGTCTGTCTGACCCTGCCTGGGGGCTCCCGCTGCCCCACCCCCCATTCCTCTATCCATTGGGCAGGCTAACTCAGTCCCTACCCCTGCCCTAGCAAAAGCTGTGTGTGTACCCTGAGGGGGTGAGACAGGCCTACTGAGCACCGTGCCACTGCCCCTGCCTTCCCTGGGCCCCCCCGTCCACTGTACCCCTACACCCCACCCCCAGACACATACAAGTGCTAATGGAGGTGACAGGCAGTGGGCTGTGGGCAAGTGGGGCAGAGGTTAATGGGCGAGATGAGCTCTGAGGAAGGGGCTATGGGTCCCCATACCACCCTGTTCCAGGACCCGCTGAGGAGAGAAGGCTGCTCCCAGGACCTGGTGCCGGAAACACCCAGAGACTAAGTCAGGCTCCACCTCCCATTCTGCATGTGAGGGCACCGAAGCAAGGGTTTCAGGACCCAGGGCAACATGGGGACCAAGCCCCGTGCCAAGGGGTATCACTGCCTCAGGAGACAGACAGCTTCCCTGGGTCCAAGTTTACCCCAGTATGTGGGGTGAGTCCCACTGGGCAGGTTGTCACCCACCCCCACACCCCACTTGGGCGGAAAGTGGGACAGGCCCCAGGCACAGTGTGTACCAGCTGTGCGGGAGCAGATGTGCCTGCAGAGCCTCGAGCAGAAAGCACAGGGTGCGGGGGGCTGGCACCGCCGTCCTGGCCTCGCCCGGTCTCGGGTGGTGGGGATGGTCATCTTTGCACCCGATGGACTGGCCTGACACACGCACAGGCCCCTGGGCTGCAGCTGCAGCCGAGCTCCCAGGGCCTCCCCCACCACCCCAGAAAGCTAGGAGCCCACTTTCGCCCCCGCACAGACCCCTCCTGAAAGCCTGGAAACACACCCAGGTCATGCCCCTCGGGTGCTGAGTCCTTCTGGAGG